AATATGCAATCCCAGAAAACAAGTAGAAAGAGGCATCCAGAGCTTTGAGCTTTACGAGTCCGGTGAAGGCGAGCGCGGGATCCCCCGCTCAATCCGCGCGGCCGCCGCGAGCACCGACCGAGCAGGCAATAACGCCGGCGACACACTCCCCGACACGATCTCATCCTCCGCACCCTCCTCGCTGTCCCCATCCGTGTCGTCCCGCCGCAGTCGCCGCCCAAAGTCGAGCGCGCCGCCGCTCGCGCGCCCCTGCAGCAGCAGACTCCCCATCCCATGCGCATACGCGCCACCCGCAGTCCCGCCCGCGGCGCGCACCATCGCGGGGTGGACGATGCTCCCCGAGCGCTTGCGCAGCTCCGTTTGTGGGAGCTGCGCGTGCGACGCACGGCGCGTCAGCGCGGGGATTCGAGACGGCACGGGCGACGGCGGGCTCGGCTGCGGGTGATATTGGTGCGGCTGTTTCAGGACGGGCGAGGACGGGGCGTGGCGCAGAGTGTGCGCGATAGCAGGGACGGGCGGTGGTGGTGTCGGCGGCTGACTACGCAATTGCGGGGGTTGCGATAAATGGGCGTATGACGAGCGGCGGCTGAGTGACAGGCGGGGAGACATGGGCGAGGGCGGGGGCGCGTGTCGTGGAACAGGCGACGGCGCAAGAGACGGCTGGGACTGGGGTGGTTGTCGAAGTGGCGCCTGGGAGGTTCGGCGCGCGATGGGCGATGAGGACTGCGGACGGGGCGACGTCAACGGGCGCAACAAAGATGGGGACGGGGACGGCGGTGGTGGGACGGAAAGCGGGGACGGCTTCTTCTTCCTTGCTGGCGGTGCGGTCAGCACCGCAGCCTGCTTCAACGGTGGTGGTGGCAGCGCGCCTCTCGTGCCGGATCCAAATGGCCGCCGCCCAACACCGACACTCCCGCCGAACCGCGCACGCGCTTCCGCGACGGACGGCAAGTCGACACGCGAGCCGAACGTCGGCGTCCCACAACGGCTGCTCGCGCGCTCCACCAGCTCCTTCTCCTCGTCTCCACGCACGGCGCCCGCTGCCCCACCTCCGCCGAGGCCCACTCCGACATCGAAAAACGCGGAGCCGCTGCCGGCGCGCGCGCGGCGCTGGGGCGAAACGGGCACAGCGACAGGCACGGCGACGATATGGCCGAAGAGCGAGCCGGGCGCCTTAGTGACGCGCACGACCTTCCACCCCGCCGACAGCGCGAGTGCGACGGTCTCCCGCAGCGTGCGCTCCTGCCCGTTGAACGTCACTTGCATCTGGGAGAGGCTCAGTCGGCTGCGAACTCTTTGTATACCATGAAGGGCATACCGTAAGGTCCATCCAATACGCATTCGCGCTCGCCTTGCCGAGGTTCGCGAGCAGCGGCGCGGGCGCGAGCCTCTTCTCCGCGCCCTCCACCTGCGGCTCCCTCTCCGGCTGTGTTTGCGTCTCCGCGCCCCCAGTCTCGCCAACCCCGAAGTCATCCACACACGCTAGCGGCAGCACAAAGTCCGCGAGCACCAACCGCGTGTGCGGTGCGGCGGCTTCGCGCAGACGCAGCAAGATGCGGTGCGCGAATGCATCGGGCCAATCGTGCAGCACGACGCGCAGGAGGAAGACTGCGGCGTCTGTGACGGGTTGGGGCGTGAAGAAGTCGTGTACTGGTGGGAAATGTGTCGTCAACTTCAGTTCGTTGTTCGACAGATATGTAGAAGAGATAGCCGAGGTGAAGGAAAGAGTCAAACTCACCCTGAAACCGCACAGCGCCAGACTCGAGGAGCTCGGGACACTTCACGCGCCACGCCTGCAAACGCACATCAGCCTCCTTTCCTTTCTTCTTCCCTTGCGAAGGGTTGGGACAAGACAAACCTTCTCCCCCATCTCGACCACCACCGGCCGGTCCTGGATCACGAATCGCAGGCCGCCGCTGCCTGCGCGTTCCGTTAGCGTGTGTACTCGGTCCCAAGGAGGTGAAATGTCATCCAAGATGGTGACTGGGCGAAGAGGAAGAGGGAAAGAAACACCCACCATCTGCATCCACCTCCGCATACGCGCTCGCAAGTAGCATGCTCGTCGAGCCAATCCCGCCGCCGACGTCCACGACCACGCTCCCGCGCGGGAGCGCTCCCCAGTCGAAGCCTACGTATTCGAAATAAATAAAAAAGATGAGAATCAGTCATACTGAGACGCAAATAAAAGAAGAAAAAAAAGAAAAGAGGGAGGAAGAGGAGCACGACACCCACCATGCAACACAGCGCCCGGCGCCTCCCAGCTCCCCGTCCCCTTCATCGCCTTGCCGAAGCGCTCCAGCCGGAACCGGTTCGGGTTCGGGTTCGATGTCGTGGTCGGCGGGGTCGCATCTCCGCTCGCACTTGACTTCCTTTCCCCGATCCTCCCATTCACCGCCGCACCCGGAATGGAGGCCACGCCAGACACACCCGCCCCACACCCCTCCCCCTCCAACCACCCAAAATACCCAACGCCCCCGCACCCAAACGCGTAATTGAACGGCGCGCGTGTCGGGTCGTTCCCCGCGCCGCCCGCGTTCACACTGCCATTGTTGGTGTTGAGGGTGGTGCCGGTGCTGATTCTGGTGCCGGTGCCGGTGGTGGTGGTCGTGGTGCGTGGATTGAGATCGAGGCCGGATCCTGGGGGGTACAGCCGCGCGGCGCCGGGGAAGACCGCCTCGGTGAGGTAGGCGCTCGATTTGTAGAGCTCGTCGGTGCTGAAAAGTGTGTGTAAGCCAGGGAACGAGTGATGGGGAACAAAGGCAAAGTGCAAAGTGCGGAAAAGTAGGATGGTCCGAGAAAAGGCGCGATTTGGAAGGGAACCGACGCTACGACGAGCACATTATAGAGGTGGGCAGGAAATGCAAAGCATTAACAGCGTGAAAGGGTGGGTATATGCGCGATTCGCGATTCGCGATGGGAACGACGCGACGACAGGCGCAGAGTAGAGGTGGGTAGGAAAGCCGAAGTGCGGAAAAAGTATGAACTGCTAGGTATATGCGCGCGATTCGCGAGGGCATCGATAAGAAAAGTCGAAAATCGCGTCGAGCAAGCAAAGAGCCAGAAACGAAAAAGAGCACGGAAAGCACGAAGGAAGAAAACACCGACCATAATCCTATGAACGCAGCGACCGCGCTCGCGTCGTCGCCGTCGTACTTGCGCTCCGGGCTGTCAAAGAAAAGAAAGGTCAGTATGTATTGCCTGCGGTGAGAGGAGAAAGGGAAGGAAGGGAAAAAAAAGACGACAACCAAAAAATAAAGATAAAAACGCCCAGAGAATGAGAATAAGGCACCCGCCCGGAGAGTATGGCTACGCTGCCCCGGACCCGCCCTGCGCCACGCGCCACAGGCACTCGAGCGGCTCTCCACCGCCCAGACCGGTAGCGCACAAAACCCGATAAGCCCGGCGCGCGAAGCCAGGAAGCCTCCGAGCGTTTACCAAAGCGCGTCAGAAGCGCGTCAAGGAACGCGTAAACGCGTCAAGAAGTGTCCAGATATGGCAGAGGCCGACAGGAGAAGGTAAAGCGTAAAGGAAGGCTGTCAGCGCGCCTGACGCGTGCCACAGGCGCGTGAGCGTGAGCGTGAAGGAGTGGAGATTTTTTTGGCAGCGGGGGCCGCGGGGGCGAGCGAGAGAGGAAGGGAAAGGAAAAGGAAAAGGCAGGATGAAGGATGAAGGATGAAGAAGGAAAGGGAAGGAACGAGAAGAGGTGTCGAAAAGACGAAAAAAAAGTAGAAACGCGAAGAGAACACGAGCAAATCGGAAAGCAAGAGGAAGGAACGCACTTTGCGACGAGAGCGTGGAGCGGCTTGCCAGAGTCGATGAGGGAGCTGATGCGATTGACGGCAAAGACGTCCGGCGCGGCCTCGCGAAGGATATGGTGCGTCGCGAGCAGACGGAGAATGTGCGCTGCAATCTCTGTAAACAGAGATCCCCTACAGAAAGAGGAAGAGGAGCCCACCAAGCTTCGCCTGCTCGACGCCCGTCCGTGCGGCGATTTCGCGCACATGCACAGGGCCGTCGCGCAGGACTTCGGGGACGTGGGCGGCCTCGAGGAGACGCAGACAGCTCGGGAGGTGGTAGCCCATGGCGGCGTCGCAGAGGGTGAGGAACGGCACCTGCACGGTCGCGGCCATTTGACCTGCCGCTGCGACGATGCGGTTTATCGCGGCGACGACGGTCGGGTGCGCCGCGAGCTGCTCGCTGGGGGAGGCGGGGTCGTACGGGGCGTCCAGAGAGGGGAAATCGAGACCAGTTCCGGTGAAAGACGAGCTCTGGGTAGACGAGGAAGACGAGGGCGACGGCGGGGGACTTGCGTACGCGCGGGAGAAGGAGTTTGCCTTCTTGTGCGTCGGCGGGGGCGGGGAGTGCTCAGCATGGGCGTAGACGTGCTCGATGTCGTTGAGGGCGTCGCCGAGGATGGCGTGCAGGGCGCGCAGGACGGCAAAGGTCATGCTGCAGGTGAGCCCCCGGGGCAAGCAGCGAGTTATTATAATAAATTATTTTATTTGGCCTGCCTGTCAAGCGACTCGATCGACAGGACGCGTCTTCTTCGTCCAGTCCGTGTCACGTTCCTCGCTCTCATCCCCGTCACTCCCCGCGGCCGCGAATAACGCGCATAGACAAAAGGCTGGCAACATCGGTGAGGGCAGGAACCAGGAGCGTATTTGCCCTTGTTGCACGGCACCCTCTATGACACCGCCGCCGCCACTGCCACCCAAAGTTCAACATTCACTTTGGCTCGTTCGAAAAGTTGGGTCATGTCCTCGAGGGCCGATTCCGACGTCGGCGGGCAAGATTTGACAGCAAACCTTGGGGCCCCCGTTTTTCAATTTTGATGTTGAATTTCTGAATCCAAGATTCCAAGTTAAGTTGCTGGCCAAGCTGATTTCTGCAACGACGACTAGCAATGGTCGAGGATGGACCGTTTTCCTGGTTGTAAAGGCCTTATCATAAAACATAGGAACCGCAAAGGGAGAAAAAGCAGTGACTTTGGGCAGTCCACATGGCTCAGGCGTGATTCGAACACGCTGCGGTTGGTTAAGTTTACACTTTTTCTTAACCACATGTTACCAACGTGGACCATCCACCACCGAGCCTTGTTTAGCCCCGATTCTACCTTGACAGCATGTCAAGACCCTGCTCGTATCTATAAAGAAAATCTTCGTCTTACAGACCTCCTATGGCTCAGACGTGATTCGAACACGCGTCTCCTACGAAGGTTTCCAAATAAAGTTTTCGAATATATGTCTGTAGGTGTGGTACCATCCACCTCCGAGCCTTTCTCAGCCCATATTCAACCTGACAGGTAGCATTAGATTTCCAATCCAACCACGGGCAAAAAAATTCAGCATAGAATATTTATTACGCCTCGAAGCCGATTCGAACAGGCTCTCCTTCAAGTTGATTATCATGCCAGCCGCACTTAACGGGTGCGGCGTACCAACAAGCCTTTATCACCTGAACCTCACCGTCGATACATCCAGCATGTCCGTGCGAGATAAATCTCAAAGGGAAAAAAATATGGAATAGGAAATCAATCTGACCCATGGCTCGAGCCTGATTCGAACAGGCAACTTCCACTTGAAGGGGTTAACCTCAAATTACGCATGAAACGCAGATGTGAACCATTCACCGCCGAGCCTTTCCTCCTTGGTATTCCGATGCATTAAGTGCGGTTGATTTCGTGAAACATGATTTCAAGGAACGCCAGCTGGCCGAGCCCCTCAGGGAAGTTTCAACTGGAGATACCAGCCTCCATGAATCAACATGTTTTCCTAAAGCAAACAAAAAATATAACTCGAAGCTCTTCGGGACAGTGACTCGGACCTGGGTCGAATAGGCAACTTCTGCTGGACGCCGCTCCATCTTGTTGATGTGGAGCAGACGCGATGCATTCACCACCGAGCCTTTCATGCCTTGCTTTCTTCCACTTCAAGTTCGGATTTTTCGTTCTCCAAAGGCAACGACTCCAACCATGATGAACGCTCGGTGGCCAGAACGCCGAAACCCAGCGAGGAACGTACTGCCATCATAATCAGCCTGATCGTTTGAAACTGGTTATATAAATCTAACCTCCGGGTCCTTGACGAAACAAATGTTCTTCCAAAAGTTCAATATTCGTAGAAAAAGTGACGCCGACGAGGAAATAGAAATCACTCGGGCCTGATTCGAACAGGCAACTTCTGCTTGGAACTTGACCACGTCCCTTTGATGTAGAGCAGACGTGATGAATTCACCACCGAGCTTTTCATGCCTTGTTTTCAGCCTCAATATATGAACTCTCTTATGTCGCTGGGTGGAAAAAACCTTCACGTCTCCTCTCCCATGGAATCCGGATTTTTCGTAGGTCTGTAACCACTATGGAGGCTCAGGCCCTCAAATTTAACAATCAGTCGTTCTAAATCTGTTACTCGGAGTCTACCCTTTCATGACTCAATTTTGTTCAAAAAGCATCCATAGTCAAGAAGAACGCGCGTCATTGACTCCAAGGCTTGGACCTTTTTGAACAGCAACTTCTGGTTGGATTTTATGTCGTACACATTCACCAGGGACCCTTCTACGGCGTAATACAGCATGACGGTTTTTTTTGCCTCCAACGCGTCGGCTCAACGCCTTCATTGAATGAATCAACCAAAATTGAACTTAAACGTTCAACATGCCGGATTGACCCGCGTGATACCATCAACGGATGTGAGTGACGTGATGGCATCACACTCTTTTCTCGCCACTACAAGGATGAAAAATCCAAGCAGGCTTTCTGCGCTACCAACCGAGCTGATACACGAAATCTCGGGATGCATGGCCCTGCAGGATCTCCTAGCTCTTTGCCGGACTAGTTGCCAGATCCACGCTATCTGCTTGAAGTGGATTTATCGCGTCTTGTCGTTCGACAGTCCCGTGCAAGCGCTCAAGTGCTGTAGAACCGTCGTGTCTCGGAAGGAGGTCGCTGCTGCAGTGCGAGAGCTCATTTTGTACCACTCTGTCTTCTTTGCCCACGTCCGATGATCTTTGACCAATCTTTGGCAGCTATCCACACCTTGAGCTGAAATACGCACTGAAGAGATTTTGCAGCACTTTCGGATCCGCGATTCAGCTCATGAAAAACCTCGAAATTATGCATGTCGCCCATACAATGCTCTCTCAACTGTTCTGTCATATATCTTTCCCGCAACTCGTCAGTTGCACCATTCCGCATTCGTTGCGTCTTTCCCAATTCCTCCGGATGAACTCCACAATCACGGATCTAATCGTCATGCCCTCCGAGTCGCTCCAGAACAATTTGGATTATTCTGCAGTGACTTTCGGTTCGATACATATGCCGAAACTGGAGAGCTTCCAGGGTCCTGGCACCGTTGCGTGCAGCATTCTTTCGGGCTCGCGTACGTCGCGCTTTACGATATACTGGGAACCGCGCTCAGACTTTTCGAGAGTCTTGGCGGCAGTCGAGGCTTCCAACGGAGATGTCATCGAACTCAGCAGTATGGTTTACTTCTGGGACCATGCCCTTCTGGCGGCCATTGCGAAGCACACACCCCGAATCGAGGAGCTTAACATACAGTACATGAAGAACCACCACGGCAGAGAGGTGAGCACCCCCTTATCGTTTATTTTCTCTCCTTTACAACTTGCTAGGATATCTTCTCCGCACTCGAGCACACGCTTCACTCTTTACCCCGTCTGGTACTATTTCGTGTCACGGAAATAGCTGACATCGAGCCGGACCGCGTTGACGAGGGGCTGGAGTCGGAATTCGAAGCAATGCGGAAGTGGGGAGAGATGTTTCCGAACATCCGCTGCGCTACTTTGATGACCGCCACGCCATGGACCCGCTTCTGCCATCCGCTCCTGAGCTATGGTGTTTGGTATCCCGGGAATTTCAAGGCTCCTGACGTGGCGCGACATTTAAAGTGGTGGATAACAAAGGTCCTCATGTCTCCAGACTTACCAAACGGATATGCTATCCTCGCGGAATGTTTGGTTGGAGAGGAGTTCCGAACACTGAAGGGGGCCATGAGACGGGATGGAGTGGTTCCGGCTTTTGATATCCTGAGCTCGGAAAATGGGCAGCCGGTAATTTCTTTCCCATCTAGTACTTGAAACCTTCTGTCGTCGACCCGTCTCCCTCGTGAATGATTTTTTATTCTTGACGTCACATTTTGTTTCCGCTGTCCTTGATCGCGTTCATGAGTGTGAGGCGAACAAATTTCACTCGTATGCCCATCAAGTCTTGAGTACAAAATGGTTATCTACAATAGCGGTGTTGAAGGTGGCAATGGCGGCGTCTATCGCTGCATCTACTGGGCAGGAGACTGAACCACCCGTCGTCGAGTCTTCGATTATCGCAGCCTTCGCCTCACCGATTACCCTGAAGACGTGAGCCGAATCGGACGGTTCCTCGTCGTGGGACCCCATATGAATGCTCCATATCTCAGAGAAGTCAGAGCGGCACACTGAGTTGGGGGGACATGTGGGAAGATGAACGTCCGGCACAATGTCTTGAAAATTTTTGAACGAGCGAATAAGAAACCAACGACCGGAAAAGATGCGAAGCAGATGAGCGGTGCTGAGTCCAGAGAGTGGTCCGTCTATCAATGAACGCCCCGGCTCTCCGGGGACGTCGAGCGTTTCGAGCACGGCGTTATACAGAGCGACGAGGAAGCTTTTGTAACCCAATGATTCTGCAAGGTCGATGGCGGGGATGATACGGAGGGGATCGGCTTTAATGTGATCGATCCATTTGCCCTTCAGCAACTCGGAAATGCGAGCACAAGCCAGCGGATGAAGAGAGGCGCAAAGATTGGTTGTGTGGAAAATTATAAGGCATTGGCTTTCCGAAATGGCAGCTGCTGAGTTAAGGAGGTGTTCCAAAGATTCGAGAGCCCAAAGGAGGCAATCGCGCAGGAGATATTTATGGGCAAATTGAATCAGGTTTAACAATCTGTCCATATCGGCCTCGGATGCGCGATTAATTTGGAGTTGATTAGGGCTGGTACAAAGGGGTTCAAAGTCTGTCAGACTTCCAATTGGCCACGGGCAGCAGCGTACCTGGAATACGAGTAAAACAGGAACGCCCGAAACTGGGAAACCGTATCGTCTTGAAATAAAATCGGGTTGCTTTCGTCTTGGCCCTCAAGGGGAAGACTTCCTGCTGGAAGGCAAAACATGTCTTCAAAGACCGAGGAGTCTTTTGAGAGATGATAGCGATGGATCTGGATCCAGTCAGCGACAACCGGCAGGGTGAGTCCACGGACAAGCCAGACCTTGAAGAGAGTGCTTTCTACTTGAATGACACAGTCGCCGTCGGATCTGAAGTACTCATCATCTTTATCAGAGGCGGAGTGCTACGGTCCATGGCAAACGGCCAGCTCAAGGTGGTGGAACGGGACAAGCAGTTGAGTCACGGTTGATGTGACCACAGGTTCTTCTTCGGGTTCCTTCCTTTCTATGACTTGATTAGATTTTTTTGGCGGTCAAAACCTCATTCACGATGGATGTTCAGCGCTCGCTCGACGCTTGGTGATACCGGGACTTTTTCTTTTTGATTTATCGTCGGCGCCAAAAAGTCGAGTAAGCCGCTTCAAAAATCGCAGTTGGGAACAACGAAAGATGTAGGGCGACAAGGTTTGCATACATCGGTGAAGCGTGAAAAAGCAGTGAGAACGGTACCGGATGAGGGAGGAGACTGTGGCGGGAAGAACGGAGAGGATCTCAAGACATCGGGTGGTTCTAAGGCGGAAAATAAGACGCATAGTGGGCCCAGTGTTATTGCTCCCAAACGTCGTCTTTGTGTACGAGCGCCATCCGTGGCCCAAACATTGTTTCCCGTTCGCGCGGTAGCAAATCCATCGCCGGGGATCGGAGCTTTCCTAGTAGCGCGCAGATGTTGGAGTCCGAGACAGCCAGATCGTCCTCGTCGTCGTCGTCGTCGTCGGAGATCGGGCTCACTCCCCCGCTCATCCAGACAATGTCGCCGATGAATTTGTGCAGAATGAAATATTTTGAATCCATGTCAGGGATCGAAGTATCGAATCGAGGGCGAATTGACGTGTCTAGGAACGCTCTATGCTGGGAAGGATGCATGGAGCGATCGGTGGAAAATGTGTTTAAATAAAAAATGGGGTTGCCGGGACCGGTACGACCGCGTATGAAGATCTGGATCAAATATTCAATCCCTGCTTCACTTGAGAACAGAAAAAAAACTGTACTTCTCCGTTCGACCACTCGGGAAATATTAGGAAGATACCAAAGATCTCGTGGACTTGAGGCTGCGCCAAAAACGCGTTCTCGACGCTGTCGGCCAGCCAGTCGCTGCACGCGATCCCTGTGAGCGCTTCGACGAGTGCAAAGGACTGAGCAGACTATCAGAGCATGAACTTGAAGCGGAAAAAATTGGATGACGAACGGTCTGGCCCATCTGAAACGGTAGCCCGTGAACCACCTGAAGATTGGGGACAAAGACGCGGCCAGCGTGAGCCTGTTCCTGGGCTTCTGCAAGCTGTTGTGGGCTAAGTTGCTGGGGTTTGATAGCCCCGACCCCGGTCAGTCGACATTTGACATCTCGCTCCCTGACCTAGAGATAACAAAGTGGAATTGGCATTGAGCATTCGGGACTTGAAAATACTTGCCTTATCTGCGACGGTGTCGTTCCTGGTCTCCGTGGGCGTCTCGGCAGCGGAGAGTGTTCGCATCTCCGCCCGAACTTCGACAATGTCAGACGAATTTGTTGAACTGATTGACGAAAGAACGCACCAAACTCTACAAACGCGAGCATCTCGGATGCCAACTCCTCCAAATTCCAACGTCGGGGGAAGAGCACTTTACGGACAAATTGCTGCTGCTCGTGGGCGGCGTCATACGAGCCAAAAGTCCGGAGGGGTGCGAGCGCGCTGCGATCGACATTTATACAGGCCTGCAGATGTGCCCGCGCCTTCTCCTTAAATTCGGTATCCGCGGCATACGGGTACCGCTGTCTGGTCTTGCGGGTGTATTTGTAGAATTTGCGGTCACAGGGATACCGCTCGACGTAGTGTCGCGCAGCCTCAAGATACACTGCAGAAGGAAGCCCATCGAGACTCAGAGGAATGGCCGGTGGCTCAGTGAGTCCTGGATCTGCGGGCAGCAGTAGGAAATTACACAGAGCAGTCATATTCTTCGCGGGTCCGACATGATGGTAGGGAAATAGGAGAGCACAGTGGCAGTGACGTCGGGAAGCTGTGGATCAAAATCAGGATCAATTCCGGTGCCGGATATGCAAGTTGAAAGCCGAGCACGCTGCACAAAAAAGCTGCAACCTGCCAGCTTGCAGGCACCAAGAGCTTTTGAACATAGAGCTGTAAATGTAGCAAAGCTGTATACAGGTGGTTGCCTACAGAAAGGTTGCAAGGAGTGACGGTTTCAACGCGACGTTGTGAAGAATTCTTCAACCTGAAGCCTTGCAGAACGAATTTATCGACTGGCTCCTATCGAGGCACAATTCCAATTGAGAAAGGCTCGGTAGTGGGTGGCACACGCCTGCTTCCTGTGCGTTTTCGGCTGAAATCGCATTAAGCAGGAGCAGCCTGTTCGAATCAGGCCCGGCGAGCCATACAGCTCATGTGTTGCGTCTTTTCTTGTTCCTTTCAGAGATAATCACAGTAAGAGAGGTACGTTCGAATCTGAGCCAGAAAAGGCACAGTGGTGGATAGATGGAACCACACCTGCAGAAAATGTCCAGTGTGCTTGCGAGGCAATTGAGCAGGAGGAGCGTGTTCGAATCATGCCTGTGCCATTTGGTATTACTTAACGATGCAGTGACTCAATTTTTTGTCAGCATAGGAATTGACTGGAATTGCGGCCCAAGACCAGGGCGACGTCGGTGTCGAATTAAACGCACCTGTGAAATTGAGGCTGCCTGCATCCGAGATCCTGTGTGTTGAAGATCAGGTCGACATCTGATAAATTTTCTAATTTATGGTTGGAAACACTGGCTCCTATCGAGGCACAATTTGAAGCAAGAAAGGCTCTGTGGTGGGTGGTCCACGCCTGCTTCCGGTGGGGTTCTCGGCACAAGCATCATCAAGCAGGAGTGCCTGTTTGAATCAGGTCCGAGCCATCATTTGTGTACAAACGAGACTTTGTTTTTTTATTTCCTGATTTCCTTCGAGAATGATTCCGGTAAGGGAAGTTCGAAGCTTAGCTGAGAACGGTACAGTGGTGGATGGATGGAACCACGCCTGCAGAAATTTCCAATGCGGGCACTCCGATTCAGCAGGAGGAGCGTGTTCGAATCACGCCTGAGCCGTGAGTTTAGATGTACAACTTCTTTTTCTTGGGTGGGCTGCCGGCATAGTAACGGTTGGCATTAGAGCATTGTGGCCCAAGGCCAAGGCGAAGTCGATGTGGGATGAAACACACCTGTAAAATTGTGGTGGACCGCGCCCGAGTTCCCCTTTGCGCAGGACAAACTTCAACTCGGAGCCTTGGAAATTTGAATTTATGGTTGAGAACACTGGCTCTCATCGAGGGACAATAGCAAGTAGAAAGGGCTCGGTGGTGGATGGTCCACACCTGCTTCCTGCGGGGCTCCAGAATACTAAACAGCATCAAGCAGGGATAGTCTGTTCGAATCAGGCCCGGGCCATAGCTCGTTTAGATATTGTTTTTTCTTTGCTCTGTTGAGCATTTTCTTTCGAGAATGGTGACATTCGACTAGGTTTGAATCTTACCTGAGAACGGCTCAGTGGTGGATGAATGGAACCACGCCTGCAGAAAATGAGCGAAGAGAGGGAAGAGTAAGGAGGAGGAGCGTGTTTGAATCACGCCTGAGCCTTGGAGTCTCGAAGGCAAACTGCCCGTTTTTTTTGGCAGGTATAGAAGTCAATCGATATTGAGGCTCAAGGCCAAGGCCCAGGCTCGGTGTGGAATGAAACACACCTGTGAATTTGCAATGGACCGCGCCCGAATTGTACTCTGCGTCGACGGACTTCGAATTCAACGTGGACCTTGGGTAAAGTTCGACAAATTTATGGTTGAGAACCACTGGCTCTTATCGAAAAACAATTCCAATCGAGAAAGGCTCGGTGGTGGGTGGCCCACGCCTGCTTCCTGTCTGATGTGGTCGCCAAACAAGATTAAGCAGGAGCAGCCTGTTCGAATCAGGCCCGAGCCATAGTTGCGCATAGCTCATGCAAGATTTTTTTTTTTGTTCTCTGTTTTCTTCTTTTCGGAAATGATGACAGTAAGGGAGGTTCGAATATAGCCTGAGAACGGCACAGTGGTGGACGGTACCACACCTGCAGAAAATTTCCAGTGTGGGCAAGCCGATTCAGCAGGAGGAGCGTGTTCGAATCACGCCTGTGCCTTTGGGCGAGATCCATCGAATACTTTTTTCTTGGAAGGTGTAGGAATTGGTGTTCAATAGTGGCTTGAAAAAATACGGTGGACCTATCCTTTGCGTCGAACGAACATCAAATTGAAGCCTAACGTAGGTAGAATGAAATTTACGCTTGAAAACACTCGCTCTTATACTAGTAGAGGGCCAATAACAAGTTGGAAAGGCTCGGTGGTGGGTGGCCCACACCTGCTTCCGGTGGAAGTTCTTGGCACAAACATCATTAAGCAGGAGCAGCCTGTTCGAATCAGGCCCGAGCCATAGCTCGTGAAAGAGTGTTTTTTTTTTGTTCTTTCGTCTTTCGAAAATAATCACAGGAACAGAGGTTCGAATGTGACTATAACGGCACAGTGGTGGATGGATGGAAACACACCTGCAGAAATTTCCAATGGGGGCAAGCCGATTCAGCAGGAGGAGCGTGTTCGAATCACGCCTGTGCCTTAGGGCAAAGGTAGCGCATATTTTTTGGAAGGTATAGGAATTGGTGTTTAATTGAAAAACGTAGTGGACAGCGCCCGAGTTCTCCTTTGCGTGAAACGGACTTCAAAGCCTTGAAATTCGAATTTAAGGTTGAGAACACTGGGACTAATCGACACACGATTCCAATTGAGAAAGGTTCGGTGGTGGGTGGCCCACGCCTACTTCCTGTGGAGGCTGAGGCCAAGTATCATCAAGCAGGAGTAGCCTGTTCGAATCAGGCCCGAGCCATAGCTCATATAGCTCGTTCCCACTTTTTTCTTTGTTTCTCTATTTTCTTGCTTTCGAAGATCATTCCAGTAAGGGAAGTTCGAATCTGAGCTGAGAACGGCACAGTGGTGGATAGATGGGACCACACCTGCAGAAATTGCGCGAAAGGAAGGGGATTAAGCAGGAGGAGCGTGTTCGAATCACGCCTGAGCCATGGGGAGCGATAACCGACGGTGCTTTTTATTTGGACGTTGGGGTGGTGCATAGTCCAAAAGGTTTGGGTGAAAAAGCTTGGATCGGGAAGAGTGAGGCTGGGAGGAGGAAGAGTCCGTCGTCGACGAGAAGGCTGGAGATCTTGGCTGCGGTCCTAGGCGTAACGTTGGAAAGAATCTAGTCCAGTAGTCGCGCACATTCTTCGACGAGGCTGTTTTGGTCTTGAAGACTCGGTGAATTTTTGAGGTGATGACACGGCGACGTAGACGATTGCTAGTTTCAGCACGAGGTGCCGTGGCATTACCGCAGGGGATCGACGTAATATGAGCAGAGGGGTGGAATACGTACTACCGGACACGTTGAGGAAGGGAAGAGAAGGGAAGAGGGGATCCGGATCGACGTCCGAGGCGAAGGCTAGTGCTTGTGATTTGCAGGAGGGAGTGCTGCGTACTTGGTACTTTGGATACCAATTGAAACTCGACTGTAGATTTCGGAGAATGAGTTGAAATGGGGACGCCGGAATTATTGTCCGCAGCAACTTGCTTACGAGTCTGCCTTTCGACTTGAATTTGCTCCGGACTTGGGCACCCGTCTCGGAGATCGTCGCCGGGCGGACCTCTTTAACAGAGGTGAGTGAGTAAGCCAGCGCTTACGATAGACGCCTTGAGACGATGACCTAGGGTATTTATACCCTTGACTCAGCACTCAGTCTTTGGGAGAATTGCTGATAGGGGGCGGGTCCAAAATTTATAAACGTGCGTCACTGAGAGAATTTTGAGGCATAGGTCCAGCTTCCAGAAGGCGAAGATGTGTGTAGAGGGATTTCGCTGGTGTTGGACATATATCTCGCCCACAATGAGGCTCCCGGACTGAGAAAGCTGAAAATCAATTCCGCCGCTTGAAATTGCTGAATCCCGCAATGTGACGAGAGCATGCTCCCAGTATTTGACCCGTAATTTTGCAGGGCCTGTTAGAGCATGGCCGCGGGATGGGAGGTAAGGTGAACGAATTTGGACGGATAATCACTCATGTGACTCTTTGAGAAATTTCGGGGAGATTGATCGCGGTGTCTCTGTCTTCTCCTGCCTGCCACTTTGTTGTCTCAATGAGCCTCTAGCCTGCCTCTAAGCTGTACCCTGTCCTTGTACCCTTGTATCCCTTGTATCTCTGTCCACCATGTCCCAAGTACGTCAACAGCCCTTCCCTTGCTTTCTTGACTAATACGTGGGCATTCGCAGGACTCGGCTGCCCAAAGTCTGCTCTCCCTCTCAATCGCGGCCGCCCAGGTCCAACCCATCCCTCTCGCTGACGCTGGCGCATCCAATGCCAAGCACCAGCAAGCCCCGTCGCACCACCGTCGTCTCTCGTCCACGGGACGTCGCAGGCGGCTAAGCGACGCCAGAGACGCAGCAACCCGCCCATTGTGCGTCCACCCGTCCATCCGCGACGGCCACAGACTCACAGAATCGCCGTAGATCCGTCGGCGTCCCAGCGCTGTCCATGGCGGCGTTGTCGCTCTCGACCTCCGCTTCCCCGCCGCCCTCGGCTGTCTTTATGCCTGCCAGCGCTCCGGCCAAGAGCAGCACCCCCATCCCTATCGCGCAGAGCGCCGCTGGCCGCAAGAAGCGCGGTGTCGACCACAAGTGCGAGTCTTGCTCAAAGGTCGGTTGTCATTCCAAGCTGTTCTCTAACCTATATCATTCGCTCCCATATCCTTATCCCCCTCTATCCTTCCCATACCCTCCCCTTCACTCCCTCGTCCCCACTTGTACTTTCCACCTTCCCTCCCCGCTTTTTTTTTCTCCCGCCGCGCATCTGTGATTTCGGATGCCAATCACGAATGATGACGCAGCATTAACTCCCCTCCCCATCCCTTCACCGCTGCCCAATTCCCTCCTTTGTGGAGTTTTTACGCGCGGGGCTAGCTCCTGTCTTGCATTTTTTTTCTCTTCGTTGCTCGCCCCCGCAGCCCCTGGGCACAGTAGACTCCTTTCCCTTGCTGCGTCATGCGCATTACGTAACTGCTTCCACAGCAGCGACCGCGCTTTTTGAGGCAGTTGGGCTGCGAGGACGACTGCGCATGACTGGGGACTGCTGTATGGCGGGCGGGTGTTCTCTTCCGAGGCACCTATGTTGCTGTTTCATTTTTTGTGGTGGCGACTATTTTTCCATTTTCCTTCGAGGAAATTTTTCCTTGCCTTTTTTTGTTGCTTTCATCCCCGCCTCCCACTATGCCCCGCTCTTCATCACTACACCCTCCCGTCTCTCCTCTTCAATCCTCCCCACTCCTGCACTCCCCGCTCATTTAACCCCTTGCGGTTTTATGCGCCACGTCCTCTCCCGAGCGCCGCCCTACCGCCCACTCCCCCGAATCCGCATTAATCCCACATTTCCCCTTCTCATGCATTACTGGTCGTTGCCTCTAGGCTTCGGCTTATCTTTCCCACCCCTCCCCTTCCACTCCTTCCTTGTTGACCCTCGCACATACCTCCCGTTCACCCCAGTTCCCATATTTATTCACTCTCCGTCATTTCTATTCCCTGCTCGCTCTTACCCCTTCCATTCTTCTCTTTGCGGGTCGTTCTTACTCGGTCCTCCCTTTTCTGTTTAACTTTCTTGTCTTCCGTCCACTCTTTCACTTCCCGTCCCCCAAACCTCTATATTTATTCCCCTTCTTTCATCTCGACTATCGTTCTCGGTTCCCACCCATATTCAATCATCCGTACCCTCTTACCTTTCTTCTTGTCTTCCATTTATTCGTTTTTCTTGTCTTCCGCCGACTGCACTTCTCTTCCCATCCCGAAACCTCCCATCTTCCCTTCTCCATCTCGATCCATCTCTCTTCATTCTTGCCAATCTCCCGTCGTCTCTTTCGCCGTCGGTCTTTGGCTTTTCTTTTCTTCCTTCTCTTCTCCCCCGTAGAGTCGCTCCCGACCCACCCCTTCCTTTCTTTCTTTGGCCTATTTTTCTTGCTTCGTCGTAGCGGGGTATCTTCGGGTGTTATATCCGAGCCTCTATTTTCTTCGTTGGACGCCTTGAATCGCTCTGTGCGAGTCTCGGTGCATTCTCGGTTCCTTCAGCCTCCCTTCCCACTCCGCCCTCCTTCCCCTAATTTTCTTTCCAAAAAAATGTACCCGTGCTAACTCCTCATCTCCAGATCTACCGACACCCCTCCTGCCTCATCAAGCACCGCTGGGAGCACACCCCACACTGGCGCACGCTCTCCTCCCTCCCGCACACCTCCTCCTCCGGCGGCGGCGGCGGCGTCCTCAGCAAGCACGCGCAAGTGCAGCTCCTCGAGGCCGCCGCGATCCTCTCGCACCTCTCCCCCGACTCGGAGACGGGCACGA